ACATTTAATGTCGAAGTAAACGAAAACAGCGTCAAAGTTGACATATATGGAGTGGAGGAAAACAAAATGCCTCATACTTAAGGAAGGTAACATAGCTACAAAAGGTAACACTCATAAACAACTAAACCCCTTATAAAACTGATAGACTACTAATCTGTTAACAACGCAAACATGCATTGGGTAAGCAATTTGTACTGGGAAATCAAAATTGCAAATATGCAGAAATATACGAAAGATGCATTTGCAAGTCAAATTTTGATGTTTTATAGACCCAAACACACAGACTGGCCGGGGGAGGGATGAGTGTAACCCTACACCGACCGACTGGGCGGAACGAGAACTCAAACGCTTCAACTGGCTCTGAACAAAGCTTAATCCGTTAAAATCCAAACATGCACACATTGCAGAAAAAAACAGGCACAAAATGAACATTTCAGATGGCCTACATGCTATGAGAGGTTGTGCAGAGCGTCGATCTATTTAAATGCATTTTTTTTTTACTTTTTTTTTTTTACATTTACATTTCTTTTTACAACCTATTGATCAAAATTGATGAAACATTCGTGATATAATAAGTCCATTTTTTTTCTTTAACGAATTAAACCAGAATGTCTTTCGATCAACAACAAAGAGGTTTTAACTCACCTGCGGCACAAAGTAATGTAAACAGGAAGAGGGTTGACTTCAAGAACAAAAACAGATGAGGTAGAATATTTGTCGTGCGATATATAAAAATATATAAATACAATTCTTCCTGGAAGAAATTAAGTTTCTGGACCCTTTAGTTCGGAGTTTTGCAGTCGGTTCTTTTTCTTTTCTCCTCCGAGGTCTCAACTGCTCCCTTTGTTATTGTTGTGGAAAATTAACAGCTGATCGGTCGTTACGTCAATGAGAACAGCCCACAGGCGGGGCTTGTGAGAACCCTCTCAGCCAATGAAATTGCGCCCCTGACTATGACTGACTGTCACCAACGCACGTGACCCATCCCGAGAAAGGCAAGACCAGGCAGAGCACTCCATGTTAAGGAGTGTCACCCAGTAATTGTTGGGTTGTACAAAGTTTTTGAAAATATGCTTTACATTTTTATACCGAAATATATAAAAATATATTTAAGTTTTTATTATTATAATTTGAGTTACTTAACCTTTAAAGTATTTTTGACTGGACATTTATGTAGATTATAAACACGAATCTAGTCACAGTATAACTGAAATGACTGGAATTGTTTCACTGATTTTCGAGTTTAACCAGTGTGATTACTCTAAAAAAATTTGTTAATTTGTACCTTTCTCAATTTAAATCCAACTAAACAAGTAATGCACAACAAAGTATAATGCACATTCAGTCAGCCATGAACCGTTAAAATGCATTTATTTACTTAAATAAAGGGATGTAAAAATACATAAACTTGAAACTTGTAAATGATATGTTCTTTTTAACCCTTAAGTTAAGTAAAATGTGTAAAAGAAAACATTGAAATCCTTCCTTTTGAAGATGTAGGTCACCAGTTTTTAGGGAACAAAGCACACAACCCCCCTCAACACCACTCAGATGGATGTGGTCACAGAGGCCTGTTCTGATTCAGCAAGTTTGAACAAAAAGACACTCTGGTGAGTCATCAAATCTAATAAAGCAATCTAAAAATGTTATTGCATCATTCATATATCTATAATATTTACAGATAACAGATCTACACTAATCTAAGATGCATTAAACACAAATTTAAAATTATATACCACATTATAGAGAGTATATTTATTAGTGTGGCTCAGAATAATCTTTGTACCCTTTGTCCTGTCTTAAATCAAAATGTGATATATGATGTTTTCATCAGGATTCTTTTTTGGTTTGGAGATTGTCTCAGACAAAGCTTTTTCTCCTTTCCTCTCAAATCAGTCCAAATCCACTCTTTCAGACAAGAGGGACAATCTTTCTGCTAGATAAATATTTTCTATCCACCCATTTTCCCACTGTAGGATGACGTAAGAGTGAAACAACGTTCTCATCTATTGTCATCATGTTTTTCCCTCCATTTCCTTTATTTACCTTCCAAAACAAGGCCACACCTGCTCACTTTGGGTTAAACCAGAAAGATAAGCCGCAACCCACCCTGACCTCGGCAGGCCTTGTCTTTAAACATGCTGTCAGAACACTCTGTCATGTAACTAACTTACTGAAAACATTTCTTGAATATTTGGAAACTATCTGGATAAAAGCATGCTTTTTTTATAAAGATTATTATTTGATAATAAATAATTTAACCCCTATGTTGTGATTGGGCCAGAGAGCTTTTTCTTTTTATCAAAAATATTAGTTAATGTAATCGCATTGGACTAAAATTGACTGACTTTACTCACACAAGGTGTAACTATCTATACTTCCAATTTTCTAGCTTGTTCCCGGTCAAAAATGACCAGACTACAGCCTACAAAAAATGCTCATGAATCTCGTTATGCTATATTATCACCAAATATTGGATTCAATCTTTTCGTCTACTAGTTTTCTTTTAATTAAGATAGGTTTTGTATTTCTTTTTGGAACTTATTGATTGTAGGCCTCGTTGATCTGAGCATAACAAGAGATTTATAAGCATTTTTTTTTTTTCTTATAGGCCAGCCATCTTTGACTGGGGAACATCGCCTTTGCTCCATTTTGTACAAAATAAAAGCATTTTAAACAAACTTCCTGGTTAAACATTAAACCACACTAGTGTGATACACAGTGCAATTTCTTTATATATATTTTGCTGAATATAGACAAATGTATCCACAAATAATGCTTTTTCACTCAAAAACTGGGGTGCAAGTTCAGAACAACGAGACCTACAATCAATCCTTTAAAAAAATAAATACAAAACCTGTCCTAATGTAAACAAAAATGTTGAAACCAATATTTGGTGACAATGGCATAACGAGCAATTTACAAGCAATTTTTAGGCTGGTAATTTCGGAATGCGAACACCAAAGGGGTTAGTACATACAAGGTTTTCAACACAGTGTAAAAAACAAACCAAGATCATAAAATTTGAGCAAAAACCATGCCTCATTCCCACCCTAACTAGTCTAAAGATGTCTGATTTGTTGTCTTAACTGATTCTTATTAAACCCTGAAAACAGAACATTTTGTTCATGAGGATTCCACAGCATTCTTGATATAAACAACATCTAGCGTATTCTGTTCAGAAGTCCATTTGACACGCTGATGTAATTCTGTTAATGTTTAGGGCATGTACCAAACTTGTTGTGACATAAACCTTAGTCATAGTAGACATATTTGGTTTGAAGTAAGTAAATAAAAAGAAAACTGTGAGCGATAAGGATCAAAGTTGTGGTCCATATATGTATATCCTCAGTGGTAACCTTTGAGGTGTCTTACTTTGATGTTATACAAGTGTTAGATAGATGACTGAACTCATATACTGTATGTCAGAATCCTTGTGACATGTCCAGACCTAGAGGCTCTTTTTCTGATGTAAATAAAAGGCAAATGGGGAGTGTGACGGGGAACTTCATCACAGAAACCACTACTATGAGTAGAAAGACATGCTCTCTTTAAAAAAAATACCTGGTTTACTTTAAGGTTAAACAAAGCAGACTGAAAAACCACACAGTGCATAAACTTACAGTGGCCTCCAATTTTGTTTTTTGGGAAAATCATGCATTAAATCTCGAATTATCTAATAAATGACTTCTAAAATGGAAAAACACAGTAAAACTTTTCTATCAAAACATTTCGTTAAAAGAATTTGATTAGATTTAAATAATAATAAAATCCGCAATGGAGAGCAATATTTGGACACTTATGTCCATAAAGTTATGAGATACACATGTGAACTTGAGTTGAACTCGATCAATGAAATTTACACAATTTAAGTGTGACTTAAGCATCCAAATACAGGGAAACTGTATATAAATTTCTAAGATACTCTGATGCCAAGTGACAAATAACATACTAGAAATACTACAGTAAATGACAAACCATTTGGAATACGTCTGTAATTGTAAACATCCAAATGTCAAGCTTCTGACCCCATTGGAGTAAACCTCATTAGAGTTCAATTGCAAGGAAACCTGTCCGATACCATCTGTACAACTGTGATCACATTACAACACATTACAATTCTCATTAATATCTAATGAAAAGCCATACCACACGCAGGCTAAAACTTAGCATTTAAAGTGCCTAAGGATCATATTTGACTGTTTGAGTGGAGGGAGATCATGAGAACAGATGATGATGATGCAAAGAAGCTTAGAGTGTGACATCTAGGTAGAGGATTGCATCATGTAAAGAGGACAGACGGAAAGAACAAGCGTGAGTAAGTCAGTGAGCCGCCAGCCGTGACATCCTGTCAGTCAGAATCTGTAGGTTTTGTGATTGTGCAAGACTGTCTGTTATTTTCAAGACTGCATTAATGTTAAAGTCACTGCCGGAAGTTGCGATTGTGACCGACTTTACTTCAGTACAGCTGTGACCTATTATAGTAACATTATTTTCCAGAGTGAAACTGAATATTGAATGAGAAAAATAGAGGGCGTGGCTTGTTTTTCTCCCTGGGAATTGATTGGATCTAGAAAAGTGGGCGTTCTTTCAGATCGCTGTCAGAGCTTTGCCTCTGGAAATATCCGTCTGCATGCCAAACACCTTAAAGCATGTAGTAAAAAATGTGACGGCATGTGTCAAGTTGAGGCCTGAAAAGCCCTGAACAGCTTCAAAACATAATCACTAAACATGAACATAATGTATCATTACACCTCCTTTACACTGTTATGCCTTAAGGTGTACAGTATTATTCTTATTCTTCTGTTATGCTTGTGTTTTCGTTAGGGCTTGAGAAAAATACCATATAAAACTGTTTATTTTATTAATTTGACCCCATCTTTAACCTTGCCAGATGCAAAATATAACAAGCATATGGGTTTTGATTTGAGTCATGTAGCGGCTAAAAATAAATAAATTCAGACAATCATGAAAAACAATGACAATCAATACAAATCATGTTAGTGGTAATGTACATCATTTAATGGTAATGCAACACAAATGGCTTTTATTATTCGTTTTGTTAGATACAGGTGATCTGATTTTGGGCCAATGGACTAAGTGTTACTTACAAATTGTTTTCTGTGTTAGAACACATTTTGCCTGCATATTGCCCAAGAGGTTTGTGGCAAATTGGAATGACAAATAAATATTACAGACAAACTAGCACGGATAACTTCTGAGCCTCATCATATCAGTGGTAGGGCCTACTGTTCTGTTTAACACATATCTGAAACACTTTTCTGTTGAAAACCCCCAAGGATAAACCTGCTTTTAACTTTTCTCTGGAAGAACACACCTTTCATTTATAGCAATGTGTCACTCAATGACAATACAAGTGCATTATCTATTATATCTCAAAAAATATAAAACAGCAGTGCATTCGATTATCAGCCTAAACAGTAGTAACAATCTTTATACAAGCTTAAATAGTCAATTAAAGCCAAATTTTAATCAACTGATCCAGTGCAAGGAAGACACAAATGAAGACTGTTTTGTCACAAGTCCTTTTATGCACAAACACATAAAAATAATTTCCATTTTGTACAGAAAAATCTCATTATTTCACATTATTTTGGAATCATTTTGTTTTTTCACATTCATTTGAAAGGTTAAAAATGAATCCAGGAGCATGAACAGAGGTTCAAGTATTCATCCTGGCCTTTATTTATGAGGACAAGAGGGATGTTGCCTGCTAAACAGGTCAGGCACATAGGTTAGGCTGTCACTAATCTAATGTCAAGCCAATCTGACAGCAGCCAGATGATCTGAATTAGAGAGATTCATAACAAAATAAGGTAGAATAACAATCAAATCCATGATAAATAAAACAAACATTATTTATAATCCACGTTCTTATCCTAGCAATTTCTGTCGTTTAATAAAAGGACACAACACAACAAAACCAGCCGCTTAAAACACTGGATTAGCATCATGACCGAACCAGCGGAGACAAACACGTACCTTCTCTAACCTGTGTGGAATCTGCTCGCTTGATTAGCTTTAAATGAAAAACTCCAATCTGCTCTACACTTAGAGGTCATCATTGAGGTCGTTCGCAGTGAATATCATATGCAAAGCAGGAAATGAACCAGGAAGTTAATAAACAGTCAAATGTAACCAAATGTCTTTCACTATTTAACTCTATATAACACCTCAAAATAACAACAAATATACATTATATATTCAGCATGAAGAATTTTGTCTATTATTTTTTTTTTTTTTTTGGCACGAAATTCTCGTTAGTTTCTGGGTGTTTTACTTTTACTGTATTTCTATTTAAATCGGCACACATTAAAGAAACTACAAGTACTACCAAGATGTATAAATAATTTAGTTAGTTAAACACAATTTATAAATATATCATTTGTGTGTGTGTCAGTCATGAGAATCTAGAAATGTTCGATTATATTGATGAAAAGTGGGCAGAGAAAATGTGCTTAGTTGTGATCAAAATAATGTCACAATTTGAAAAATATTAATAGTCCAAAATAAGCTTAATTTTCTATAGGTAAAAATATAATTACTAATTTCTTTGGATTTTGGGGTGTATTGAATCTTTTGACAGGTTTAATGAGATCCATGATTCCACTTGCCTCTTTGTTTGCTTGTGAAATTCTTAAAACAAGACAAGCCTAAATCTATTTGTATGCAAACAGGAAACAGCACAGGAACAAACCCGACTAAATGTTCCTCTTGTATATTATTTGTGTCATGTTTCAGAGCTAAAACAGAACCTGATAAAACACATTGAATCCAAAGCCTGGATTCAATGTTTCAGAACAGAGAAAAAGAGCAACTTTGTGCTAACCACAGATGTCCTTCTCCTGCTTTGAGCGTGTAAACAATCCAGGCCTTGATGTTTTTGTCTTCTAATGTGTTTCAATGGCTGGTTTTAAGTGACAACAAACAAAACAGCACCCATGATAAGGCTAGCAAGGGTTGGAAAGGCGTTCAAAGATACAAAAGGTCTAACGGTAGAATCAAAATAAACAATGGCCCCTGGTGAAAAATCATTCAATAAAACTGTTTCAAAATAGTAGTTTGGCAAGTTCCAGCAGGAAGGATTCATCAAAAAGAGTTCATAGTTCAAAACTTGTCTATTCCTATGGCAACAGGTGGAACAGGGCCATTCTGTCAATAAAAAGGCTGTTGTGATATTGCTAATTTTCTTGGTTCTCTTCACGCCTAAAGACCAAAATGAAAGACTTCAATGAAATGTTACACATGGATCAAACATGACAAACTGGTTCTTACATCTCTAGCAACTAAACCGTAGTAAAAAATCCAAACAAACAAGAATATGTGCTGAACGCAGTCAAACTGCACAATCAGGGCACTTAGCAAAGTTGGCTGGCATCTACAGACTTAGCAGGGGCTAATGTGAACGCACCGAGGCGCACAGACAGCCGTTTAGATGCTAACGCCCATCTCCTTGTCGGACGGTCCAAATCCGAGGACGAAGAGGCCCTTCCAAAAGCTCACCGATTCACAGCATGAACAAACCCATTCCTAATGAGGGCTTGTGCTGGCTAGCTAGCTAGTCTCTCTCAGCCCTCTGCTGTTGGCACAGTTGCGTGAACCCGGCCGCACACATGCATTTTGAAACATTACGAGGAGCCTTCCGAGTCAGAGTCTTCTTGCTGAAAGAGAACTTTCCCAGAATTTGTCCCCTGCCCTCGTCCTCGCTCCACAGCCCCGTTGATCTCTCCCAACGGCAAGTAGGAGTAGTCCGCCTTCTTTTTGCGTGCTTTGCATTTTCTGCACGCCTGGATAAGGTTGCCGGCGAGGCTGGCCAGCAGCGACGTTGCCAGGATTGCGCAGACAACCAGCCAGCTTTGTCTGCACACACATAAACAAAACACTCTCAGGGTGAGGAGTTGCACTTTGACCTCTGACTCCACCGCTGCTGCCCACAGCCTTTACAAAGCACTTGACTGCAACCATGGAAACACTGTACAATCCCTTACTTGCATGTGAAAGGCTGAACTGACTAATAAATTCATCTGTGCCAGTCCGCTGCCACAGAGCTGTTTATCTGCACAGTCTGGGCACTTGGTTCAGACTTGTCTGAAAGCCCGTTCTGCTGAAACACGGGCCTGGGATTTGTCAGAGTGAATTTCCTTGGTAATAATCAAGTTACTCAAACACGCAGATAGGGAATGGTATAATGACAAGTTATTTGAGATAACAGTTTTTTTCCCCCATGTTGTGGAAACTGTGGCTTTAAGATATAGGAAAAAGCTTGTCATATAATTGTACCCGACTTTTGTTTTTAAAATAGAAACATGTCCACTCTAAAATGAATCAATGATCACTAAATTGATTTATTCATTCAAAACCACCTGTTCTAAAACAACAATTCAGTACTTCATATTGGATTAAAATGTATATAATAAAATAATACAAAAAAAATATGATTTAATTTTAAATGATTGAATGATATATATTTTAGTGTATATAAAATATTGAGTCGTGGTCTTCAAATATATAATATTTTCTGAGTCAATCATTTCAGCTCCATCACATAAAATATGAATAAATGTTTCTGCATTTTTAATATGATTATCACCTGAAAACACCACAAAAACTAAATGTCTGCTGCATTTTTATATGTTATATTAATTATATTTGTTTATTGTAATGGAATGCTATTCTTACATATTTATGAATGAATACATTTCTACATATTTATTTATTTTACATGACCATACATATAATTTTGTATCTGACTGTATTGACATACTAAGTCATTAAAAGTTGACCCAATGGTTTGTTCTTTGACTCAAGAAGCAATGAGAGGACACATCCCTGGCTGTTGTTATGTGGTGTGTGCTGTGTGTTTGGAGCACTTACTCGGATAAATAGCGTCTGGGAGCATGAGATTCCTCCTCTTGTCTCCATTGCCTCCACATCTGTGTAGCCAGACAGTGACCAGCTAAAAGTATGTGGGGGAAAACACATTTTTGAATCAAATCCATTTGTTGCATATTTTGCCTTTCCCCCTTTCCTAACATCAGATGTAACTGTGGGAAACTGTGTTTTTTGTTGTTGTTGGTAAATCAGTGCTGTGTGCATTACTATCAATGAAATGACTGTTTTAGATGAACATCTAAATGTGCCTCTAGAGTAAAGGTGTGCTCACATTAGCAAGATTTTAGCGAATTTGCATGTGAAAAATGAGTGACAGATCTTTGGTGCAATCCTTCCTGTCTACAGGTCTCATTCAGCTTGTGTTGCCCATTATCAATAACAGCTTTTGGAAAGCTTGTGTTACATTGTGCAAGATCAGGGACCTGTTACAAAAAAAAAGGTCTTATTGGGCTGACATTCATTATTTATAAACCTCCAGGAAAGGTCCATCTGATTTTCTCATGATATGAAATCTTTCACATGGAGCGAATAATGGAGATGGCTGTCACCCTGAAGAAAGGGAGAGATAAGCAGAAAGCCGTTCACGTGCACGGGAGACGGGAGATTCCAATCGTAATGAGCCCGCGAGTGAAGAGCCGTTTCTTAACTCCTGAGCCCTGTCCCTTTTTATTTCTCGGCAGGGAAGCTTGAGAAAGCATCTTCTCACATTAAATGACAGAGGTCAGAGAGTTAAGATAGAACGAGCTGACAGGTTCTGGTCTTGACAGATTCTCTGGCGCAGAGGTCATCACGAACACAAGGGGCTGTTGGATAGACTGTGATTCTCCCCCACCCCCAGCTCCACAAACAACCAGTAGCTTTGTTTATCAGAGACTGTTTGAATATGTGTGCAAATTTGAGTAGAGAGGTTTCAATAATGTTATGGTGAATGAGCAGACAGTGAAAGAGAAAGTAGATATTTTGACTGTTTGGTTACCCTTATTCTTGAATACATATTTGGAACAGCTTGAGGGTGAGTAAATGATGACAGCATTCTCATTTTTGGGTGAACTATCCTATTATAAGGTTATTTTTGTAATTAATTGCATTAAATGGATGAGTTGGCTAGCCCTAGTGAAAACATTTCCAGCGAATCAGAAAAAAAATGTAAGGCTCATAGTTCTATAGACTATAGGACAGACACTAGCATCTGCACACATTTAGAAGGGCAATGAGGAATGCTGATGGCCAAACTGTCAGTAGAGAGGGTTATGTGCTGAGAAAGTGTGAGCATTAAACTGATCTATAGAGACGTCACGGGGGAATGTGTTGTTTACATGTCGTGTGAGTGCTAATAGGGGCTGTACCGCACCTCTGTGCAGACTGAAGTTTCTTTCCCCCTGGTATGTGGTATTGCAGCTTCCAGTGATAGAGTTGCATGGGCACATGTCGTGACATTGGCAAGGCTGCTTGCAGTTCAGCCCGTAGAATCCAAGAGGGCACTCTGGGATGACATACAGAGCATGGTTAAAAAGTTAAAAATATTCCTGAGTAGATATGCACCAAAAAAAGAGTTGCCTATTTAGGCACTATATGTGCACGCTTAAAATTTGCTGTTTTATATGATATATTTGACCAAAATCTTCACCACTGCATGCATGGATAAGCTACATATTATTTATGCTTATACGAGTATTGCATTGTTAGATTAGCAACATGCTAAATGTTAAACTATTGGAATCAATAGATGGGGGAACATGATTTCACCAAGTATCAGTGTTTTTCACCTATCATTTTTCCTTCTGATATTAGGGATAACTTTTGAGTAGAGTTGTGTTTATGGGAAGGGATAGGGTTAGGACAAAATTTTCAGACAGGAATGTTGTTAACATGTCTGGAAGGTGTTTTATTTGGCAAAATCAGTTACAAGTTACTGAACAACATTTCAAATCAGTCGAATCAATGTCGAAAAAGTGATTTTATATTCAACCCATTTATCCAATATAACTTGTGTTGCATTCAGGGTACATGTACCTGTAAAAGCTTATGCATCTCATAAACATTTACCTGGAAATATCGCCTTCAATTTTTAATAATTTTTTGCCACATTGACCCGACTCTTTTAGGACACTCGGTTGCATGTTAAATACGTTTATCAATTGTGGATCAATTGTTTATATATACTAAAACCGGTTGAGATAAGACTGCATACCTTGCTCACAAGAATCTCCATGGAAACCAGCAGGACAGATGCACTGTCCGTGGACGGGATCACATGAGCCACCGTTTGTGCATGTGCATGTCTGATTGCAGCCGTCACCATAGAAACCTGCCACACATACTGCAAGGATACAGTTGTTGTTCACTGTATTAGTATGAGGTACATTCAGATGAACATACTGGTTTAGAATCATTCAAATTACTGACTGAAACAAATATGTTGCAACCAATAGAACAGTTAAGTAATGATCTCACAGTAAACAGCCAGTCAGAGCTTTATTTGATTGTTTAAAAATGTGACAGCTGAACCGCCTTTGCCTTTACCTTGGCTACAGTTTAAACTCATCCATCCAGCATCACACACACATCCATCTGTTTAGAGACAGGGATGAGAAGAGAGAAATAAAAAGAGAATGGGGTTATCCAAAAACACTACCTTTAAAGCAAGAGCATTTTCTTTGTCACAAAACATTCAGTAACTATAACCAATCTGTCAAAATCTAGAGATTTTAAACAAACTAATTACAAGCACAAATAAACTGCAATAGAACAGACACAAACCAAATAGACCAACCTGAAAAACTTCAAACACAAATTGTATCTAGTACTCAAATGTATAAAAAGCACGTCATAATCTTCAATGAGTAAATTAAATATACATTTGAAGAGCTCTTTTCCAAAACGCTATAAATCCATTTCAATAGTTTTCAGGAAAACTACATTTTTTACCTAGACCCACACATTTTGTGAATATTCAAATTATCCTGTTTAAATGTTTTATTGGTTCAGTCTGAACATTTTGAACAATAATTATTAAATCAAACAACAATATTGTTAATGATAATTTAAAAGTTAATTTTATTTTTTTCCAAAACGCTATAAATCGAAATAAACCTCAAACAAATAGTACCAATTTCAACATATGCATGAAAAAAAACAAATTATTAATACCAATTTCAACATATGCATGAAAAAACGAATTATTAAAAATGATCAATATATGATAACGATATTCAAAAAAGGGATGGGCACCCCTCCAGCACATGCACACACACACACAGGCTACATAACATGTGAGCAAAGCGGAGCAGCATGATGCTTAAATATAAGTTAAAAAAAAAAAATAAAAATAAACATTTCACATTTGTTTTTAATAATATTACATTACTTATTTTTATTATTTCATCTATGTTGAGTAGGCTATGAAAAGGGAACCGCATGAGATGAGTAAGATAGGATCAAAATTCAAAAGCTGCCCAATATCGGAAAATATTTGGAGTGCGTCAGACATGATTTTGACCACTTATTAAGTTTTGTTTTGTAGAAAGCTTGTAAATTTCGTTTCATATAAATTGTATCTTCATTTTAATAAATGTTTCATCGACAAATTGACTGGATTAATACATTAGAAGTAAATATCAGACAATATAATCAGGACACAGAGGCACGCAGGTGAACCGGAGCGCGTCTCATAATATGAACCGAAACACCGCGATGCTTGCCTCACACAGGCCTGAGAACTAAGCTACAGAAAGCTTTAAATATCTACTTTTAAACAAAACAATTAAAAACTAAAATAAATTGGCAACTCTCTGCGTATGTAGGCTAATTCGAAGTATGCGTTTCTCTATGCGCGTTCACTGCGAAGATGGCGAGTAAGCATCATCAACTTTATCTTTGTTGCTGACACTGACAGAAAACACTAGCTAGTTTATTAATAAACAATTCAAATGTTTCATGCATAATCATTACTTTTGCCGGTTCTTTGTGGCAAGCTTTATGCATACGTTGAAATGCGGAATATGCAATTAAAAACGCTCATATGGTTTCTCTCCCATTTAATTAAATCAATATATGTGATTACTGATAATACAAATGGCTTAAATGATCTACTACTAGTCGACTAGAAAACTAGGACTCATTTTGAGGAATGAATGAACATAAAAAACCTCTGTTCAGAGTGCCGCCGTGCTGGATTGTGTAGAGCGCTCATTGAATTTGAGGATTTATCGTGTTTAGGCTAAAAACAGGGCTGGCGCTTATCGCGGCTTGGGAAGAAACTGTATCTTGCAGTACATTTTAAACAAGGAAATATAGCGATTCGGCATGAAACGTTGATGGAGCAGTGAAAGGGTTCTGTCCGCAGCAGAATGACACGACAAACTCATTTTTTTTAAAAATGTCGTTTAACGCGTTTTGGAAAAGAGCTCTTCATTTATTCTTATTAAACTTACAAAAATGATTCAGTCAAGAGCAGTGAGAGATTTTCTCTTTTTTGTTGTTTGATTAAAATGAATAACGATCGCAGGTAAATTTGGATGCTGTCACTTTAAGAGCGACTGCACGGATCCAATATACTTGTGCGCTTTCTTTCTCAACTGTTTACATTTATTTAAGACATAAAGAAGGTGTTTACCTGCAAAGACATGGTCATTTTGACACTTGAGTATGTGTATTTAACCATTCAAGCCCAATAAGTTGGCAAAAAGCACTCAGTTCAGTTCTCACACGCTTTGTAAATAGTGGCTTCATGTGCGCGCGCCTCTCAGATAGCGCTGAGCAACAGCATGCATATAAAGCAAAATTAGTTGTCTTTCACTGCTTACTGCATTTCAATGGTGTTCAACTTGTTTTTAAACCACAATACCTAAAAACTCAACAAAAAAAAAAGCAAATGATGCGCTTTTGTGACGACGTAGCACAGTAACGTCACATGATTTTAACCGTGATAGAGACGATAGTCCAAATCTCTGCCGGTTGACAAATTTCTACCATTTTTTTTAATTCTACCGGATCCAACTTGTGTATTTATAATAACACTTTACTTGAATATAAATATATAGGCTTCAAGTAAAGTGTTTTCCTCTTGTGATCTAAAGAAATGTGAGAGTGACTCACTCTCAGTGCAGATCCCATGCTCTCCGCATTCAGCCTGGCATGTGAGATTGGCACATCCTGTCCCGCTCCAGCCCTGCTGGCACACGCACTGGCCCTCCACACAGCGCCCGTGGCCACTGCAGTCCTCCGGATGGCACAGCCTCTCGTGAACACACAACACAGTGGATACCGCCCTTGGGCAGCGCCACTCCGCATGTTTGCTGAAGGCAAAAATGTTGTGATCAAATTGACAAATGCACCACACTGTTGTTTGTATATCTGTATTTTTGCTGTTGCTTTTACACACCAGTGGTCTGAAGGGTAATTGGCCAGGGATCCGTTGAGGATGTAAGTGGCCGAGCCGCCTCCATCCAGATTAATGGCATTAATGACATGCTGATCCTTTAGAAAGTTTGCCACTTGCCAGAGGTTCATTCTGCAAAGACAGTAGTTTATTAAACACACATAAATCAAACTGAAAGTGAACCCCTGGTATACAGTACAAATCCACGCTCTCCCTTCTGATTTAAATGGCTCACTATGGTTTGAATAAACTTTTTCAAACTAAGCAGCAAAAAATGATCAGAATTCAGATGTCACAACTATGAGAATACGAATGATATGCAAATTAGCCATTTATATATAGATCTTGTACGTTTAATTTTATGTAAGTGAGTTTAATCAATGGACCCAAAACCAGAGAGACAAGACTACACTGCCGTTCAAAAGTTTCTGAAAGAAGTCTCTTATGCTTAAACAGGTTTTGTTTAATTAATCAAAAAACAGTAATATTGTAATAAATTACTACAATATAAAATAAATTTAATAAAATGTGATTTATTCCTGTGATGGCAAAACTGATTTTTCGGCAGCCATTACTCCAGTTTTCAGTGTCACATTGTCCTTTCAGAAATCATTCTAATATGCTTTGGTGCTCATTTCTTATTAAACATTTTGTATTAAGAATTGTGCATCTTACTATTTTATTGTGGAAACCAAGATGCATTTTTTAAGATTCTTTGATGAATAGAACAGCATTTATTTGAAACAGAAAACCTTTGTAACATTATTAACATCGGATCACTTATTGACATTAATAGTAGTATTAAATTATTTCTAAAAAAAAACAAAAAAACTAAATAAATCTTATTGACAACAAAATTTAGTATATTATCATGTTTTTGCTGAAAGTAACCTGAGTGGCATTACAAATGAACTAAATAAAAAGACAAAGTCTTGAATATGGCCTCCCTGGAAAAATTATCCATATCTGCTGCTTTTGCTGCTTCTTGATCAATAAATCATTCTGGTTTAGTGTGTGTGGTAGCATGCATAGACAGAGATCAATGTTTACAGTGATAAACAGCTGACATCGGCTCATGTTCAAAGTCTATTCTCACCCTCTCATACGCGTCTGACCATCGACGTGGAAGAGGATGAGTTTCCCCTCTGCATCATGACCCACCGCCGTACGGGCCGATATCACATCCACAAATTCTTGAAATTTTCCTGCAACAAAAGATTAATGACTTATTAAATCTTATATTATAATATTTGAGTATGCTAGTGAGAAGTACCTGAAGTCTGAACTAGTGTTGAAAATAAAGTTTTCTTTTTCTGATATAGACTCTGGGGACAAAATATGCTAGGGAGCCAGATAAACAAGTCAAGTCAAGTCTATTTATATAGCTCTTTTCACAATATAGATTGCATCAATGCAGCTTCACAGTATCAATCAAAACATAATAACACCGTTCGTTTCTTAGTGGAAAAACATCCACATTTGGTAGAGCTGATCAACAGTATTAATGATTGGCTAATTCATTTGAAAATCCCCAACTGAGCAAGCCAAAGGCAACAGTGGCAAGGACCGAAAAACTCCAAGTTACCTAATGGTGTCCTAAAACTCCATCAGGTGACCCAATGGAGAAAAATAAACCTTGGGAGAACCCAGGCTCAGTTCTCCTCTGGCGTTTATGAACTAGAGGCTGGATTTACAGTAAAACAGACTTAAAACGCGAACCTGTGATAAACGCTGATGGCGTTCACATGCGCATTAAGTAAATCCCTACAAAACCATGCCTAAACAAACTACTTGTCTATAGATTTGATACAGAATTTTGTTTTATTTTATCATTCGGGGTAGGTACGTGAAACAAATTCCCAACACTTATTCTGTAGAGTGGGAAAGCGCTTATTATATGGTCACACTTCAGACAGGATCTCGTCAAATCTTACCGGTCTCCTGTGTTTTGTCACATTCTGCCTTAATGCTCTCATTGATGTAGACCTCGCCGTTTCTCAGCAGCCACACCACCCCACTGATCAACTGCACAAAGGGATTTACCTTATCCCGTACATCATCCTCAGACAGGTAACTAAAAATATAAAGGGAAAAAAACGCAAGAAAGAGGGTGAGTGAGAAAGTTCAAGTGAGACAGATCAAGATGAGATGGTGCAGCCGATGGTTAAAGACTTGGGATGATAAATAAGACGCGGTACTGTAGGTTTAAACTCCACAAGGGAATATGTTTGTAGGTTTCTTTGATGAACAGAAAGTTCAAAATAACAGTGTTTTTTTAAGATGGAAAGCGTTTGTAGCATTATAAATGTAACAGTAGAGTACATCACAACCCAACAAAACCACAATTGACAGATTGAACTATCGATGGAAGCAATGAAAGCACTTTCAAAAAGTAATAAATCCAGCAACTTCCTTGACAAAAAAGGTTGATGGTTTGGAAAAGGCAATAAAGTATAAATATTAGCACAACCCAAGGCACACGGACAATGATTTGCTACTAGCTATTTACTTTATTATTATATTACTGCTAGACTTTATTTTAGTGGGAGAGAATGAGCATTTTTCTTTAAAAAATGAAGAAGAAAAAAAAAAAAAAAAAACCTGTATATAAACATATTTTTGGTCTGTTTTGCCAGAAGAGACTGTGTGTCTGTTAATGCTTAACTTTGTTTATACAGCTAACAGACATGGACTTAAAGGCACACAATTTTAGTGACACAATGTCCAGAAGGTCTTTCTCTAAAATAACTGTATTTTAATTCACTTTCGATACAAGCAAGAGCTAAATGAAAAATAAGTAATCAGAAAAAAGCAAAGGAAAACATTTGATTTTCTAAGGAGTATTAGTGCCAGGAAATCCACACATAAACTTTACTGACAGCAGTTATGTTCCTTAAAGCTCATCCAGGTGAATGTCCAAATATGTAAACACCTTATCTAACGTTATAATGAATGACCCATATACCCCGGGTACATGGAGTTCCAAAGTACTGGCTATTATTAAGAGCACTGGTGCGTTATGCAATATTGCCATGTTTTTGTAAGGTTTCTATTTTAGGAAACAGATGTTCTAGGGGCCTGTGTTCCCACGACTGACTTCCTCCCAAATTCTGCACCCATATTTAGGTTGAGGTTAGTTCTGAAGCACCCTAGAGTGGAGGGAAACACTTTGTGCTTACAGACATGTAGGCTACTAACATTTCACTGAGAATGAGGAAGTGTACTTAGGTACACTCTACTAAATAAATATCTTTTGTGTTCCAGAAAACACGACTAAATCACATGTTTTATGGGTGAGAGGATGTTGACAGAATTTTAATTTTTGGGTGACCTATCCCTTTAAGAGTGCAATACAGATATAAAAGCACAGAAAGGTCAAAAGTACACCAGCACCCAACCAGGAGAGACTAGCTCAATTTTCTATTGTTTCTTCGGTCTCCACACAAAAACAAACCCAATGGTAATGCAAAACATCACGAGGGCTAGGAGAAAGACTGCAAAGAGTGAGATCTCAAGCTATGCCCTTACCCAAACACTAGTGTCCCATCCTTTCTGATGCCAAACTGAGCATTTTGAATTCCTCCACTGTTCCTCACCAGCTTCCCATCACTTACGACATTCCCTAAACACTGCCCGGTGTGAGTGTTAAAGTATCCTCCATTCTGGGCGATGAGGCACTTTCTAGTTTTGGCAGTGTGCTCCACCAGATCTCTGTGATTCCGCTCGCACCCTCCAGGGCCTCCTGGTTCCAGAATGGACACAGATCTCAGTGGGTCAAGCACCTCTGTGATATGGCCATTCGCCCATCTGTGAGCGCCAGAGTCATCGGTGATGTCGGAGATGAATATATTTGACTTGAACACTGGTGAGCTCAAGTGTTTGCTTGCTGGCCAGGTTTCGTGGGTTACGTTGCCATGGGCGATGGGCTGACAGTCTCTCACATGGCGGTGAGAATGAGATGGCCCGTGGGATTTGGTGTAGGGTAACAAGAGGTCATCATCCAAAGAATGTCTGTCAAGAAAATGTGGCAAATTAACATGATTAAAATTGGATAGAGTTGTTTAAGCTAGTTAGGTTAACGTGGAGCATATGATTCAGAGTGATGTCATAACTGATTCACAGAGAACAGACCCCCCATCCAAGTTGTACAAAGTAGCATGTCACATGTGGATGTTGTTCAGTGTTTTGCAGCGCAATCATTTTCATGCGTATGTTCTTTTTAAAGAAACATGCAATTTTGCATTTTTCTCAGTCTGAACCGAAGATTGTTATCTGAGGAAAAAGTCTAATCAATTAAGGAGCAACAGATGTTTAGTCGTGCAGTCCTTATGTAAGCCTGGGTTCAGTGTGTGGTTGCTGGGATCCTCTTACACTAAGCAAATGCAAGATGCAAATTATCTGTAGATTCAGTTAGAGTACTGTACTGCAAGTATTTGTACAAAAAGCTTAATGAAACTAAACCAATAATGCTTTAAAAATAACTTGACTAATCACTGATCTGCAAAATTATCTTACATTTCTATCTATAATGTGGTAAAAGTTCAAAAACAATTATTTTAACAATGTGTTGGAGCAAACGCACACCTTTTTGATGTGTTAGATGTGTGAAAAACTTTATAGAGGCAAAATATAATCGCTTCAGCATTTTATTTATTTTAGTGTGTTTTTTAGCGAGTGTGCAGTTATACTTTGTTATACTTTGAGTTTTAAAAAAAGACAGCATGGGATGCTGATTTTTTAGGTAAAAAAAACTTTAGAATGCCATCACTTAAAACTGACGTTGTTCTTGACTTGTTCATCTCTACCCTCACCCTCACTGCTTCTATCCTCCTTGATCCTCAACTTCTTTTCTTACTACGACCTCATTATCTGACTAACTGTTGTCCCTAATACTATCATCAAGTCTTTCTGGAAAAGTACAGCTTTTCCTCTCTGTCTTCTATAAAACTTACCAACAACATCAACCTAAAATGCAGGCAAAAAAAACAATTATACTGACTGCCAGTACTGAAAAATAGTGCCAGCTACACAGAAATACACTTTGCATGTATGAATGATTTTAGTTTTTTATCTTTGAATTATTGTTTTTGCAAAATGTGCATTAAAAATGAGACACATTTGGATGTAAAATTATACATTTATGGAATTCATATATATATATATATATATATATATATATATATATATATATATATATATATATATATATATTTAGTCTAAATGGACCTCACTAAGAAACCTTGACACTGACAGCATGTGAACAAACACGTGCTAATGTCTCTTTCACTTTCTTGTTGCCACAAACATAAAGCAAATCAATTTTAATTTTACTGTCTGAAGGGGATGTAATATAATATTATTACTAAAGTTATTATTTTATTTCTTTGGTTGAACATTCTTATTGTATTTTAAATGCAACTGAATGCAATCTGTTATCTGTTATCGACATAAATGACGATGTCCCCAGAGGGTTAAGTCTTGAATCAAAATGGCTTATTACAAGAGATTTACAAAGTTAAAACAAAAATATACGTTAACTTTAAGAAGAACATCTTACAAAAATGTATCTAAATCCCCCAATCAGGCGTTTGGAAACATTATACAACTTCAAGAGTTTGATCATAACTGCACTAACGTTACATGATACACGTCCTTACCGGATGTCTTTGCACTGGCATAAACATACTCCAAGACATATTAGAAACAAAGAAGTCTGATCGAAATTCACAGACGATGTTGCCATAAGACATATGTATAACACATAAAAATAAAATAAGTTACTGTCCCGTTTCTAACTGCTTGCTTCGATGAACGTATTTTCATTTGTGTTGGTCATATGACGCATGGAAATCACATGATCAAGCCAACACTGCTCTTATCTGTCAATCATTTATTTTACCTGAGCGAGCGCAGACAAACAACTGTGCCAAAATGTTTAATACCTATTGACTACATTCACATGAACAATAAATACATTTCCAAAATACAGTTAATATGGTCCACTCTCATACATAGCTTAAATCGATTTGGTTGAAAAAAGATTGTTAACATTGAAGGGGAACCCTATGAGCGGAACCTACTGTCAGAAGTTCTTGCGAACGGGGGAGTTGTAATATGACGCACACGCAACAGCTCAAGGATACTGGACGCATGGGGTTTGTTATGGCATCCAGTGTAAACATAAAGAATGGACTTTTAACCACCAAAATCTCTCTGCACAAAAAGATTCCCTATCCCACATTTAGACATAGGCCAACAGAGATCAAATGCACAAGAGCGTTAACAAATTCGACTGGACAGCACAATGAACAGTATTGTATTGATATTGTAAGGTAAGTTGTGAATTCAAAAATCGATTTAACTTTTAATATGTTACATAAAAACATCTTTTTTATGTAAATAAAAAATACATGTACGTCAGAGTAGTATTCCCGTGCATGCATATGAATCATATGAATAGGTTGTTTTTTTTGTCTTTTGCACAAAAATAAAAATGCAGTACAAAACGGAATTTTCTTTTCATATTAATGTAAGAAATGTCTTGATGGTGTAACGTCAGATATTGAAAAGATATAGAAAACTTGATATTAAAAGGCTGAAATTAAATAAATTAAATGCAAATGTTATTTGGCAAAGAAAAAAAAAACGTTTTTTACTTGTCGAATTTTTTTCAGTATGCATGGATTTTCAGTACTTTTTATCTGATGGTTACAACACTTTTTTTCTTTTTTACAACACTTTTTAGACATTGAATAATGTCTACAAAAAAGAAAAATGAAACAAGAATGAATTAAAGATTAAGAACTTGGCAAATATGCTTCAAGCAGGATGTTTAAAGTCACCAAAATGGACAATTCCTAATTTGTATGGAATTTTGCAGTATTATTATGAATTAGTTATCAATGCATATCATGTTTTGTTTTGTTTTTTTTAATTCAAGGTCCCTTGTTAACTTTCAATCAAAATAACTCTTGCCGCCTCTCCTCACCTCTAATGACGTTTACTGACGCAAGGGCATCTGAATCACATGAGATCACAGCACTAGCAAACCACAACAATCTAATCAATTCCCCATGGATAAAATCATGTCCCGCCCTACATTTTTCTCATTAAAGAAGCCATTTCATTCAGAAGTCCTTCGACTTGGAAATCCTTATATGATAATGCTAATTGTTGTCAAAATAAATTTCAGTCTCTTTTAAGGCTTAGCCAGTTTTGTATATGGTAGGTAAATGACACAACAGATCCAAGTGTATAGTGTATAACATTGAACTGTCACCCATAGGAAGAGGGACTATGATGGATTTTTATGTTCATTGCTTCTTCCCGAGGCTGTCCGTCGCTCTACACTGGCACTGAGGGCGTTCAATGTAGAACTGGCACAGGCAGGTATTCCAGCTAATAAGTGCAACAATGTACAATCTTATTTATTCAGAATCAAAGCCTTGAGACATACAAGTGCTTGTAGTAAAATACACCTGCATATGCTCATGTACTATTTGCTACTTCTCTTTTAGATTAAGGACTCTGTTTCTCAGAAAACCATTGGTTTAATGCGAATGCAGTTCTGGAAGAGTGCAGTGGAAGACATTTACAGAGATGACCCTCCAGCCCAGCCCATCGGTGCAGAACTGTGGAGGGTAGGTTTTCCATCTGTAAATGAAAGAGTTAAAAGAATAGGATGGAGATAGTTAACCCAAAAATTACAATTCTGTTGTAACTTACTACAGCTTAAAAGTTTGGGGACATTACAATTTTTTAAAATGTAATAAATGCTTGTTTTCAGAAAGGCTACATTAAACTAATCAAAAGAGACCATAAAGGCATTTATAATGTTACAAAAGATATCTATTTCAAATGCATGCTGTTCTTTTAAACTTTCTATTCATCAAAGAATCCTGAAAGAGTATCATAGTTTCCACAAAAAGCAGTGGACTGTTTTCAGCATTGATAAAAATATATTCCCTGAGCACAAAATCAACATATTAGTATGATTTATGATGTTAATATTATCATGTGACTGAAAATTCAGCTTTGCTAACACAGGAAGAAATGACATTTTATGCATTTATAAATGACATTACATTTCACCCTCTTGTCCTTTCACATTTTTATGACATATTTTTTTCTGTGTGACACAAAAAAAATGTCTTTTTGAAAAAATTGTCCATACAACTTTTTTGTGACCCCAAATCTTTTTTTATATATATATATATTAGTCACTGATATACTATAACTCTGTGTTCTCAGGCAGTAAGAAAGCACACATTAACAAAGAGGTGGATGTTGAGAATCATATCTGAAAGAGTAAGTAGTCATTTCTGTCCTAATATACGATTAAAAAAATACTGGAAAGGTCTCTTAAAAATAACTCATTTTAGCTCTGACAGCTGTCCGAGAGAATTATGTCATTCTGTGAGTCGGCAAATTTTGGCAATTGTATTAAAAACATTCTGTTCCGAAAAGGAGAAAGACATGGAGGACAGAGCCTACAGGAACCTTAAGGATCTGGAAGACTATGGTGAAAACACACAATCCTCGCTTCTTTACTTGCTGCTGGAGACACTTGGTGAGCAGCTTTTCTGTGGAACACTGGAGGAGATGTTAGGTGGAATATTAGGAGCTAACAGCCTCAGTCGATATTCACTGTGGTATAGGAAAAATATGCAATAAAAGTAAATGGTCCCAGTCCCTAGCTTTCAGCCTTTTGTTCTTTACAATTTTCCATTGCCACCTAAAACCATTCAGAATAACAGAATGCATTGCTTTAATTTTGAAAGGAACTATAAGGCTTATATTTTGCTCTTTTTTGAGTGTGTGCTGTAGGTTTGCTAATATAGTTCCAATAAAAAAATACAGTTATATTATAAAATATTCTTTTCATTTAAAATAAATGTTTTCTATTTTAATATATATATTTTAATAATTTATACCTGTGATGGCAAAGCTGGTTTGAAGGATCATGCTCCAGTCATTTATAAATGGCGCTAAGATTGCATTCAATTGATTTCATTTAAAACCAAAGAAATAAAATAATAAATTTAGTAATAATATTATATTCATTCGGAAACCGTTATAATCTGATCTAATGCAACATGAAACATTTCTAATTATTATTGATGTAAAAAGTAGTTGTGCTGTTCATTTTTGTTTAGGATTTTTTGATCAATAGAAGATTCAAAACAATAGCATTCTTTTCTATTTTATTTAAAGTTTTGAAGTTATATTAACAAACGCAAAAGCATAAATCAGTCAGGACAACAACAGACACATTAACACACACAAAAAAAAAAACATCTGGATTGCCTCAGTCATCAATTATTGAAAATATAAACATGAATGACTATTCAAAATTGTTTTATAAATTAGTTAATTCGCAATAGGAGAAGAAAATAGAAATAAAAATAAATAAATAGAAGTGGAGGTTTACAGAATATATCATTGTTAAATTTACAAAAGTCATGTTAATTCTGTATGCACTTGAAAGCAATTCAAAAATGTTAGAGTGGAAATCATACAAATTGGGGCAAAACCAAAATGAATGTGCCAACAAAACAATATCATTTAACTGAATGTAAAACTGTCACTTTTGATAAATTAAATACATCCTCTTCTTCTCCAGAAGAGGAAAAAAAAAACGTACTAACCCCAAACTTTTACTGGTTAGGGTTGCCCCATCCTTTAATAACAGACTTGCATTACAAGATCACAAAACAGTCCAATGAAAATATCAGACTGAGGAAATTTAGTCAGACTATGCTTTTTATAATACATCAAAACTCTTATTTTATTTTATTTATTTTAAGTTAAAATATTAGATTTCTCATTACATGACGCATTTTAAAAAGATAATCTGAGAACTTAACAAAGTAAAACAATTAGATATTCTCAATTTGACACAAAAGTCAAACCTGGTCTCGTGAAGTTGTGTCGTTTGTGCATGTGTTTATGTAGGTGTGAAAAACGTCCATGCAGACCACGCCGCAAGCCACATTGGCAAAGCCCAGGCCATCTTGACCTGCCTGCGGGCAACCCCATATAACAGCAGCAGACGCAAGGTCTACCTGCCCATGGACATCTGCATGCTGGTGGGTAAATCTGCTGTCACCCTATGATGTGTGTAGCTGACTGTAATTCCAAGCTTTTCTGACATCAGAGTTACTGTTTTGAAGAACTAGGGACATATTTGTGGATGAAGCTGCCCAGCGCCCTCTCGCCTGCAAAGCCCAATCCCATGGGCTTTGTGTCAGCCATCTGTCGCCATTGCAGCATGAACAAACAATTAGAAATGGGATTTAGAAGATCTTTCCCCCCGTGTAACAAAAGAAAAGAAATCATCTGTTGTTTATTCTCAACTAATCTCAGTTAGAGTAAAGTATCAAATTGTGTTATGCACAGTAGTGGCCAAAAGTTATGTCTGGAAGAGAATTGATTTGTTTTTAATGACCTACAAGTTCTATTAAACCATCAAAATATGAGGAAAATATTTTTGAGTGTTTGCAATTTGAGGGAAGAACAAAACATGTAACTTGGTTTTATCTGAAAATTATTCGGTAAAAAAGGGGTAAACTACAGCTATATGTTTTATTTGGTATGCATAGAAAAAACTAAATGCAATATGAAGATGCCAATTTTCCTCGGACATCTCAATTTTGGCCACAATTGTAATTGTTTTTCTCTATGATTGCACTTTTTAACCAGAAGAGGGCACTGTTGTTTCACCATATGTTATGTGATGTTGTTTGGTTTCTGAGATTGTCAAATGCGTTTTCAGGCCCGCCCTTTCAAGTTTGATTTTGACCTGACAGAAAGCAGTGATATCTGAGGTGGGTGAGATGTTCACTCACATCTTCCCATCTACGCCATTATGGTGAGATTTATCTCACAAAACATATTCAGTCTTTTGACTTTCATCCATTCGTTTTCAATTACTCCCCACCAAACCCAGCGCACGCTTCAGGGGGTCTGTTAAAACTCAATGGGCTCAGAGAGCCAGAGAAGGCAAGAGAGACCTTATTTACCTGCTGGTGTCACTGTTGAACAGTGTTACTTAAGAAAAGCAAGTGATTTATACACTTTTAAACGTCATATTTTGTAATATTTGCTCTTTTTTTATTATGGGTTTATTTTTTGAGGAGGCATTGCTTCCTTGCCTCCTCAGAGGAAGCGCCCCTGAGCCAAATGTGTTTGTAAAACAGTGCAAGGTCTACTTGTGGGTATTTTTTGTTAGGTAAACTGTGAAAACAAGCCTCTGGGTGTCTGCAAGCTATTTTTAAGGGCTCTGCGTGATGTAAAACCCCCGTTCAATAATCAGATCAGATCAATAATGATTGCCCCCCCTATAATTACACTGCCTGGTTATTCATCCCAATGTTGTATTTAACCATACAGCTTTTGTTTGAGGAAAAATTGACTTTTAAATTAAATTCTAAATGAAAGCTTTTGCTGTATGTGTCTATTGATCCCTTGCTACCGTCAGATCACAGTAAAGACATTGCAATCACAGGCAATGAAAACACGGCAATAATTTTTTCCCCTGCTGTTTAAGAATGTTTGTTGAATGCTGGAAAATCTATAACGGTAATTCTCATGAAAACTGTCAAGAAATGTTTGGGTTGTATTTCACCCCAAAGTCACAAAAATAACTTTTTTCTGTGTGTGAATTTATGAAATTGAGCCTGTATTTAAGATCATGACAGTGTTTTTTTATTATTGAATTTTTATTAAACAATGTAGCATTTTCTACAGCACATATTGGACCAATGTATACACACATATTATTAATCAATATGAAAGATACCTCCTCACCCCAACCCACTCAACCCAGTTTGTCCCTTTAAATCCAGATCTTCCCTAGAATGATTATTATTTGAAGTGAACTAAGGATTGTAGAAGGAGCATAATATAGCATATATCATAACTTACAAAATAAGTGATTACCAGTACGGTAAAGGAATGAATGGAAAACGAGAGGAATACAATAATAAAAATAAGACCATGACAGTATTTTGAAATTATTTTCATGCTTACTTTCATGAATTTAGCACATTCTCCCCCTTTCCAATTTCCAGTAGCCTACTCTAATGTGGAAAATTTCTAATTATGCCCAAAAACTATTATTTTAATTGTAAAATAATACAAGTGACGTCATACGTAATTGTTTTGTTGTACTGAGATTGATTTGTTCTAATAAAATAGTAAAAATATATAATAATTATAATATTTTTATTACTAACAAGTGAGTTTTTATAACAGGAATTAGAATTTAAGGGGGAAATGTGCTTAATAGGTGCTTTTTCTTTTTTTGATTTTTTGGAGTAAAATATGACTATGTTATTGTGATGGTGTCTGAAATATGAAGGGATACGGAAAAGATTGTGATCTCATCAAGCTCCTCTCCTCTGTTTATCAGGAGAGGTTTACTGATAATGCATTTTCACTGTTTCTCACCCAGCATGGAGCGTCTCAAGAGGATTTCATTCGTGGCAGCAGGGACCAGAACGTCAGGGACGTCGTTTATGACATTGCCAGTCAAGCCCATGTCCATCTCCAACACGTATGCAAAGCCCTTCAATTTAATATCTGTTGTCAGATAGGAGATGTTGACTGTTGTATGTTCCCCATTTGCATACTAACTTCATTAAATTTCACAAGGGAGAGCACCCCTCCTCCACTAGCAGCACTTATGACCCTTGATTGTTGCCCTCTCTTCATTACTGAAATTATTAAAAGTCCTGTGTAACCAAAGAGCATTTCAGGGTATATCCGAGAAAATGCTAATCAGAGATTTCATCAGATGTTGCTCACCCCACTTTGCATATCTGTTCGGGTGGTATGACTCAAGGTTAGCGCTGAATGAACTCACTGGCGAAGACCATGTTTAAAATATCACAAACAAACAAGGGCTAAACTAGAATTTAATCATTTTAATCCATTTTTCAATCAAACCTTGATTTTAATTTTAATGAAAACATTGCCTTTTACCCCAATTAATTACATTTTGTATAAATAGTAGCCTGTTATTGAATCAAGATTTTTTTCTTGCAATATGAGATCATTTATTAATTTATTAATCTCTCATTAATTTTCATTCAGATGTTTTAGTTGTATTTTTTTTGTTATTCGTATTATTCTCAATGTTCATTTTCATTACTGTAAAACGGTAAAAGAAATTCACTGTATTAAAATAATGACAATATAATTAGAAAGTACCGTAAAATACTGTCTTTTATACAATTTTATAAAATACAATAATTCTTACAAAATAATAAATTTATTCAGATTTTTTTTTTATTAAGCCAATATATTATAGACTAGAAATTCACAATGCAAGAAAATGCTATAATTCTCTTTGAGCAAAATGTGGGCTGAAATATGATCTTGACAGGTTTGTTTGACCCAATTTGATTTACCATGAGACTAACCCAGTAATTGAAAGGTTTGTGTGATATACTATACAGCACAGTTGCGAGAACTTTGATTTCTTGTCATCTCATTACTGCACTGTTTGTCTCACAGGCTAGATCATTCAACGAGAACGTTCCGCATGCGGCCATGCCTGCCTTCCTACAAACGGTGAGTAATTTCATCTCTTTCAGCTTCTCTCCCCTCCCCACGCCTCTCTAATGTGTTGTGACACAGAGAAGCTCATGGCTTATCCTCATTTCGCCTCCAAAGAGGCTGGAGTCCCGTTGTCCCACATGATTCCTGCTCCCTGGAGGCACCACTACAATCTCATGGTCTGATTACACATCTTGAGCCTTTTTTTTACTCTTTTACAGTAATTTCTCTTAAAGGAAACCCGTCTCAGAAGAGCTAAGGGGATAGCTCTTAGTGTATTACAAGGCAACGCATAGGGAAAACACTCTTTTCGGTGCAGTGCAGTTATTTTCAGTACAAGCTTTAGCAAGCTGAATGATTTTTTTTGTGTGTGTGTGTGAACTAAATGGCATGTAAAGCATTTTGTATTTCACTTTCTGTCACTGTAATATTCTGCTCTTGTTTTCCATTTCCACATCCCTGTGTTTAAGTGTCATTTGAATTCTTTAAAGCCACCCTTTCCCCACAGGCCATCTAGTGACACATCGCGCTCCACTTGCTTTGGCTGGTGTTAACTGTATGCTCGCGAAAGGACTGTACTGTTAGATTTGACATTTGAGGAATGTATTTTGTATTTTTGAGTTGCAAGAAAAAGTATGTGAAAACTTAAGTGTTCTTGTGAATTCCAGAATTGTATTAGGACAGGCTAGCAATAACCTAGAGATTCACATAGGACTATGTTTTCACTCAACTTCCACTGTGAGTCTTCACATGGTAAACTATTTAGTTCAAAACAAGATTTTCTTTTTAAAGAAATAAAATGCTTTTATTCAGCAAGGATGCTTTAAATTGATAAAAAAAAAAATAGATTAAAGACATTTCGAATGAAGAATCTAATTACATAAATGCAGTTTTTTTTAGCTTCCTATTCATCAAAGAATAATATATATATATATATATATATATATATATATATATATATATATTAGGGCTGTGCAAAAGTTAATTGCGATTAATCGCATCCAAAATAAAAGTCTGTGTTTACATAATATATTTGTGTGTGCTGTATATAATTATTTTGTATATATAAATACCTATGCATGCATGTATATATTTAAGAATTATTTGCGGTTAAATTCTGTATATATTTATAAATACATAATCTATATTATATAAATATAAATATTTTATATATGAATAACATATTTTCTTAAATATATACATGCATGTGTGTGTATTTATATATACAAAATAATCATATACAGCACACACAAATATATTATGTAAACAGAGACTTTTATTTTGGATGCGATTAATCGTAATTAACTTTTGCACAGCCCTAATATATATATATATATATATATATTATAGGCAGCACATATGTTTTGAGCATCGAATCAGCATATTAGAATGATTTCTGAAGGATCATGTGGCACTGAAGTCTGGAATAATAATAAAATGTATTAAAATATAATACAGTTATTTAAATTGTGAATTTATTTCACTAATCCTTTTTTTACAGAATTTTTGATTCAATAAATGCAGTCTTGGTGAATATGAGACTTATACGGTAGTAGTGTATATTCAGTTAAGACCTGAAAATCTATTTTGTGTTATTGATTGGTATATTGTTGTGATTTTTTTTAATAAGCAAATGTTTTTTTTTTATGAATGTATGCAGGAATCCAGATAAAGCTGAAGGGTTCACATATTTTTTTTATCACCCCACAACATCAAGATATTTTTAATTTTTTGGTTTAAAGAATTATGTCTTTCTGTCCTGTGCCACAGGTTGTTTTGGAGGATTACCTGCAGAGAGTGAGGAAAGTAGATTTCGACGTGTTTCACCCCAGCCTACAGAAGAGAAATCCTATGCTGCCTCTTCAGCTGTATTTACGATCATGGAGGAAGATCTATTGATAAGTCTAATTAACATCTGATTTTCATCCTTGTCAAACGAGCACTTGCAATAAATTATCTAGCTACTATGTTGACAATTTTTATGTCTTTTTTCATGCTGGTATACTCTAGATGAAAGGAAATAGTTTGATTACCAAATAATTACCAAGTTTCACATCAAAATATCCACAACCAAAAAAAGTCAATTACATTAATTTAAAAAATGTGTTTGAACTCGAGTAAACAAACAACAGCAAAACACATTTTGAGAGAAAATACAAACTATGTCAAACTGTTTTGAATTTGTTAAAGTGTCTGAATAGCGCTGGTGACATTGTTGCAAATATGTTCACAACTTGACTCATGGAATGGGATTCATAATGAATTCAATTATTTAAGGAATTTGCAAAACAATTTATAGCTGAGGAGTGTGTCATATGCCCCCTCCTGATAAGCAAGGTCAACCAATTATGTTTTTATGCTGCAAGTGTGATGCAAGGTGGTGTAATTTTTGTGGCACAATCATGAGTTTATTTAGTCATGAAAAATACAGTCCTCCCTCTGCCACAAAAACACTCATCTGATCAACAAGAAAATCACTCCTGGCTGTTTGTGCCTGCTCTTGAACTGCAGAGAATATTTCGCTGGAAGTGAAGTCCTCTTTGCTTTGCTTAACTCCCTCAGAAGGAAAGAAAACAAAATATATGAAAGCATTGAGTTCGGCAATGTGTGTGACACATGTAGCCAAACATATATGCTCATACTGTAAATAAAGAAAAGTAGCTTGCTGACTATCTAAACCAGCTTGGCAAGGCTGGGAGACCAGCTAAGACCAGTTTGGGCTGATTTAAGATGTTTTTCCAAAAAAGGTAATTTATGAATTTTAAAACAAATTTGTGTTTTAATTTCAGAATTCCATTGCTATGTGACAAGTCTGAAATTCTCTCATTGGAACAAGGAAACTACAAAAGCTTTTTGATTATAAACAGAATTTGAAAGTACATAATATGCATTCTAATAGCATGCAGTGAGTTATTAATGAGTTCCATTGATTTTAATTGATTCGGTGTAAAGCACATGCATTCAAAACAATGAATCTCCACACACTGTAAAACCTTGTCTGGAGCTCATTAGTCTACTTCTGCACATATATAATAGTATACGCACATTTAAAGCTCATTTCTGTTCTCAAATCTGATCTAGTCACAGGGTTCGTACCGGATGCTTGAAATAGAAGTCCTGGAAAACCCTTGAAATCAGCCATATTTAAGAAAAGGTGCTTGAAAAGTGCTTAAATTATTGATTTAAAGACAATATATGTAAAATTAGTGTTTCATTTAATTGATAAAACAATCTTTTCACACAAAATTAACTTGTATAAATATCCAAGTACATGATACAGCTTTGATTCTTCAGGCCAATCATATATTCATGGAAATAAATCATTTTGAATAAGGAAAGCGATATCTTTGTCATAGCATCCTTTCAATAGTTAAAGGGATACTCCACTTTTTTTTTTTTTTTTTTGGAAATGGGCTCATCTTACAACTCCCCCAGAGTTAAACAGTTGGGTTTTACTGAATACATTCAGCCGATTTTCTATATTTAGAAGAATATCGGTAACCAGACAGTTGGCCATTGACTTCCATAGTAGGATACTGAAAATCAGCTGAATGGATTCGAAAACGGTAAAACCCAACTGTTTAACTCTGGGGGAGTTGTAAAATGAGTCTATTTCCAAAAAAAGTGGAGTATCCCTTTAAAGTTTCCACAGTCATTGCACGTGTTGCACTTTATAATTTGTACCATTTTGTTTTGTTAGTTTATTTGTATCTATTTACATGTTTGATAAATGAGATCTCAGTCCTTGAAAACCAAAAACGCAGTGCTTAAAAAGTCCTGGAATGTAATTTGACAGTATCATGTGAACCCTGTAGTCAGCTGGGGGTCAGTGATTAATTTCTGCCTCTTTGAATAGTGGTGCAGAAATGAAAGGAGACGCACTACAAAAGTTCCAAATAATTTCCTCCTTCACTGAGATAGTCAGGGTCAGACCGTATCTTTTTATTAATACATTAAGTCGAGACGGTCTGATCCTGTTCTTTTTAAGACTGGAGTTCTGTTTTTCCTGCCAATTTAGAAAGCTCATCCATAGCATATTTCACCGTCTTCAGCGTTTAGGCTAGCATCACATTTCCCTCTTTCGTGCAACATGAGGTTGACATTTTGTCCATGATATTCTCTTCTATCTAATTCTCTGTAAGGAAGAATTTGGAGAGGTGCTTTTAAGAAAGGTAGATGATGTAGATAACAATTTTGTTTCTGGCCAGTGGAGATGCTGATGCATTTTGAAAACAGTTTCTAATTGCTGCACTGCACCTCTAAAATGGAAGTGACAGTTTCTGCTAGCCCATCACGGTCCTCTTATTCGCATTTAGATCTTGAGATTGAGGTGATTGAGGTGAATTGCTGTTCATTTTATGACGCATGGTAAATGGTATGCCTATTATTTATAAAGTGACAACAACTATTCATCAACTTAGGAGATAATTGACTACAAATGAAATACCTGTCATTACAAAGCATGTCAAATCACCTGGTATGCTGCTGAATGCCAGAATGATCTCTGTTCAAATTAAGTTATCATTGACACCAAAATTCCATTTATCCCTATATCCCTAAATATTGCTGAAGAGTAAATGCCAGAATCCTTGGATGAGCAGAAACCCATTTCTTTGTCCTCTGATTTACTATATTGTTGAGCTTCAGCAGAGTCAGAAGCAATTTTGATTGTGTGAACATATGGCTGTATGTGCTGAAAAACTGCACCAGCATGAAACGAACAAATTATAATTAGCATCTAAATTCTTACTGGCAATCTAAATACTATATAATCACAGCAGACAAAGATTTGTGTAGTAATATAAAGCCTCTTAGCAATACGTGTATCTTTCTACAAAGAATATGACGCATATGACCCTCTGAGACCTTTATCATCTTAGAGCAGTGAAAAAAACTATATATTTTCCCTCATATATATATATATATATATATATATATATATATTTTTTTTTTTTTCTTGCAGTCTTGATTTTCATCTGTCCGTTTTTTTTGTTTTTTGTTTTTTTAATTCACATGGTTCACCCAACTGACTTTCATTAAATAAACCAAAACAGTTGATACAGTTGAGCTTTTAAAAGAATAGTGCAAATAAATGAAAGAAGCTGACATTCTTTCATCATCTTTCTTCAGCATAAAAGGAGAATGTTTTAATATTCTGAACACTCTTTTCCACATATTGAGAGTGAATGGTAAAGTACAAAATGACAAAAAAAGGCACTATAAAAGTTTAATTGTCCGTGGATTATAAATCTTCTGAAATCATATGATAGCTGTATGTGAGGAAAATTTAAATAATGACAGAATATTAAATTTTGGGTGAATTTACTTCATTATTATTCCGTGCAGCCGCTCCGAGACTGTGGATGCTTTTTTTTTTTTTTTTTTTTTTTTTTTTGGCTGATTTTATTTTGGTTGTTTTGAAATTGTTCCACTTTGGGATTTTGCTTAAATATAAAGTTTGTTACAAATAAAATGTATTATTATTATTATGACGTGTGTAGGAAGCTTTCTAAAAAGAGTAATTATGTAGCACACAAAAGCCCAAACTTTCTTATGGAATTCACTTGTGAAAGTAGACTATTAACTCTCTGAGACAATTATTACCAGCATGAATCAGTGTTGAATATCATCTTTTAACTTTCAGCCATTATTATCCTGTTGGATCACTGGCATATGAAATCATCGAATGAATTTCATCCCTTGCAATCTCTGCCATGTGTAATGAGGGGTATTGTGTCTCTGTTCAACTGTTCTGACACTTAGCTGTCATTTTTTACTTTCGCATGGATTCCACCGAAGTGGTGTATTTAGGGTAATTTTCTTCAAGCAGGAATATAATCTGTACAAAAAAACTTCATTCTGATTGTCCAAATAGAGCACTTATGAAAGATGCCGCTAAAATGCTGCAGGATTTTAAAGAACCCAAATATGCATGGCTTTTTCTTCCAAAGAGTTTTCTGATGTTTTATATTTGAATGTATGTAACTGTGTCACAAATTAAAATTTGACTTTCACGTGCCATGGCAGCAAACAGCCACCAGCAAAGGCAAATTAGAGTAATGCGACCTTCCTCTCTGATGTTCTAGTTTTACGGAAGCAATTCCGAAAAACAAAACAAAATTATAGATGCCAGACACACATCCTTCATTACAACCTCATAAATGTTTAAACTTGTTTTTCAGGTATAAATGGACAAACAGGAACTCAGGATTTATAAAAACCACTTTGCAAACACTTCTTAAAATGTAATGTTGCACCAACTTTGTTAGATTAAATGAAGTGATAAATTAGATGAACGATATACTATGCAATACCAACAATAAATTCAATTTACACTCTTAGAATAAAATATTCTATATTCTCTGTCAGCTGCTTCATGTGTGTTCATAATCATTTTACAGATTGATTTAGTTATAATGAATTCATTTTTGTTTTAATTAGTTACATTTAATCAATTAAACAGCTCATAAACATTCTTTATCACTAAAAATAAATTGAAATAATCCATTAAACAATAAAATATTAATTAGTAATGTCTCTTTATTGAACCGTTTTGACCCCTGTATAGATCTCCATTGAACCTATTGCATAAAGAGAGTGTGTTTTATATATGACCTCAAAGTGAGGTGAACATACACACACATATGAACTGGTTCTCTGCACACACACAAACATGTGACTGGCACGTTCTCCTGAGCCTTCCCCGCTGTTACAAAAGTGTAGTAAAAAAAAAAGAAACGCATTGTATACCAGAGGCTCTATGAGTAAGGCAGCTGCCATATTATGTTGTGATAAATAAATATTTTGCAATTGCTCCCCTGAAATGACACTGAAAAAAAAAAATGCTAAAGCCAGGCCATCTGCCCTCCTCCCAAGGTCTTATGGGAATTGGACAACCTTGGGTTCAAAACTGGACCCTCCAGGCTTGTCACATCTGAGGGGACGAATGATTGGAGCTTCACGAGACCGTAATCTCCAAAACAAGAGTAAAGACAGCTTAGTGTAATGCTGATTTTAGATTAACATTTGCCTATTCTACAGGATCTTCAGATACATCACATCTGTGTAAGTATTAGCATGAAGAGGGATGAAATATTTTGATGGGTAAGTTGTCCATTTGAGCCTTTCAGGCATGTGTGAAGCTCTGAGATTGAGCTATTCAGTATATTGCTGTCATTTTGATCAAATATGTATGATATAATAGAGTTAATTGGTCTATTAAAGGATTTGATGTTTTGCTAATTTAAGAAATATGTATAGTGCATTGTCATGGTCAAAGAAATGCATTAAAAATCACCAAAAACATGATTGGGATTTAATTAGTGAAAACCTTTAATGAAGAATGCTTTATTGTATATAGTACAAAACTGTGCAAAAAATAATAAATAATAAATAAATCTCTGAACATCAAGTGTATGTTAAGAGAAACAATCTACCGTATGCATATACACTGATGAGAAATGCATTTGTCTTGTATAAAACACCCTTATTTATTACATAAGCCAATTAACAGCTGACCTTATAATAATTTGTACTTTAGCTCCCCGGTGTTTACATTGATCCCTTTTCACTGTAAAAAAAATATATATTTTCAAGATTTGTTAACACAACATTTTTTCTTTTGTCAAATCAACTTAATTTATTTAGGTGAGATAACTTATTATTTTGAGTTTGTGATGATTAAATCAATCTCCTTCATTGTATTAACTCACTCTTTCCAATTCAATCAACTTAAAATTTTACAATTTTAAGGCAACCAGGTTACTTACTTTTTTAAGTTAAACCAACAATATTTTTTCAGGTGTATAAGCATCAGTTCTTGTTGACAGTATTTTACATGCACATTTTATTAAAACCACACAATATCTTGACTGAACATCTTATCAGTATCAATGAAAAATAAACAAAAGCAAATCAATGTCCTCGAAAGCATCTATGTTACAAGATATTTGGGACTTTCATGATTAAATTCAAATGCATGGTGAATTATTGTGACGATGACAGTCATGCAACATTTAGAATAAATCTCTCAAAAAAGAGGTGATATACGAGGATAGCAGCAGATGCCACTCAACGGGTGGTTATGAGGGCATTATAGGCACCAGTGGCCTAATGGTTGGAGATTTAGGCTGATAATAAGAACGTTTTTGATTACAAGGAATGATTCATATCCACATGTCTCTTTAAGAAAGACACTTAACCTCAAGTTGATCCATGGAGATTGAAAAAGCTGGCAGGTTTGGTGGCAGCTGTTACTAGCTGGTCTAAAGTGGATCTTGGACCAGCAACAAATCAGCTATTTTTATAAGCTAGTATATGGAACAAGCTACGCCAGGTCGCCAGCAAATTGCTCATGTAATGGCCAGATACTAGCTTAAGGGGCCTGTTATAAATACAGTAGCTCCATGCAAATTGGTCCGTATGATCAGTAAGATATAGTAATTAGGTTTGTTTGACTATTTCCTCACTGAGTTTCCCCCCATTTCCAGTGTTTTCATTCACAGTTGTTTTGGGCGCAGTGTTCAAATGAGCGGATATGAGTAGCTGATACGCACGACTTCTAAACTTCTGGTCTCTCACACCATATATAATAACATTCCAGCAACTGTTCGTGGTCAAAATCCAAAAGGCAAAAAAGGAAAAAGTGCACCATTCATTTCCCAACACATTTCCAACTACAAACACAGCGATGGGAGTGAAAGAAGCAGTGAAAGCTAACGTCAGAGTGCCTATAGTCTTGGCAGCCTTGATGTCGGAGAAGGTTGGTTTGGTTGCGCTTTGACTGTCTGTCTCAGCGAGATGTTTCCTTCTTTTTGAATGCTGGCGGATTGTGGTGAGCGATATGATATTGATGACAACAGTACCTCCGAGCAGCGTAAAGTCAAAAGCAGGGAAGAGTAAGAGAATCTTCCAAGCCTGGGATGGGAATTCTGCGCTTCCCAGCGCGTAATTGCACATGCGGCTGCAAGGATTGTATTCCAGCGCGATTGCATTGCTGAAAACCATTGGAGATATTGCCAGGAAAAAGCTCCCCATCCAGGAAAAAACTATTAGTATGCTTGTTCTTTTTCTAGTTATGACAGATTCCTTGTGCAGTGGCTTTAAGACGGCGATGCTCCTTTCAATGGTTAGGAGAAAAATGGTTGTAATAGAGACTAAAGTGCATCCCGCAAACACAGGTCCGATGAAACTGCACGGGTGGAAAGGGGTGGTTTGGGAATTGCGCGCTGTCCACTCCGGCATTGAATTGTAGATCATGAGGGACATTTCAGCGTAAACCGAAACGGGTACCACAAAAATTCCCACTGCCAGGTCTGCCACGGCCAGTGAGGCTTTTAAGTAACCCTGTGGGGTGTGGAAGTGTTTAGTTCCAACGATCACTGCTAATGTCAAGAGGTTTCCGAAGAGGATGGCAAGTATCAGTGATATCATGAAGACCACCATGAGTATCTTATTGGTGCACACATTGCAGTTTGCGAGCTCTGGCATCCTTGTTCAGCTGCGCGTAAAAATCCTGTCAGTAGCACAGTGGTATTTCTCCTCTTGGCTCGGAGGCAAGGCAAGGCAACCTGCGCATGGTGCTGTGTCCAAACTGAGAAATTCACTCCTGCCAAGAGCAATGATATAATTATGAATAACGTTATGAAAAATGGCCACACTTTTCATGAAGGGGATATTTATTCCACAAAAACGGTGCATTTATAAGGCCCTCTTGGTGTAGTAATAATGGACATTGTGAATGAAAGTCAAATAGTATTCTCTCTATGTTGTTTTTGGATAGTAGCCACATTTAACGTCAGGTTGAAGAAGTTAGTATTGTAACTAGCCCAAATAATTTTAATATTTGGCTGATAGAATGTTTAAAATAAAATGTTTAAAATGGAAAAGCTACCCATTTGTCGAAATGAGCCAAAAGACGCTCACAAAATTTAAACTGGGATTTTTTTTTTAATTTAATATATATAAATAAAATAAGAATAGTGCATATTGTAACAGCTGATGTGAACATACCTTAAAACGAAAATCCAACTTCTTGTCGTCTTTCAGCACATTTGAGAATAATCTGTAGGAGTCCGAAATGTTCTTTAAAAAAAAAAAACTTATCCCTAGTTTTGCATTTTGATAAATGGGCAAATGTCCTCTGCAATCCCCTTTCTCTGACTGCTCTTTACATTCCGCGTGTGCACGAACAGCGTTGATCGCGTGCATGTAATGCCAGTCTGCGCGCACTGCTGTAGTCACTGGATTCCCCAATGGCTATTGTTTACTTTTCCCACACTTAGGCTACTATGCGGCATAAGCATTGGAAGCTATAAAATCATCATCAGCCAATGACTCAGTTATTAGAGCACCACGCTATGCCCAAAAATAAACTGCCACTGACGGGGTGTGGAAGAACATCATTTAATTGCAAGTAAATGCAATGAACAAAGTGAACCTACGATACATGATACAGCAAAAAAATAAAAAATAAATGTTTTATTATGGAATTGTTTGTATCTTATTAAGACAGGGGTGTTCTGTATACCTTTGTGTGCAAACAGGCAGGCACCTGGGGGCAGCAGAGAGTTTCAATGCAAATTGCATTTCAATATTAAAGGTGCATCAAATGAGAACCCTAACATTATCTTAAGAACTAAATAGGCCTATGCCTACATTCAACAGATTCATTTCTGACCAAACAGTGAAGCAATATAAAATAGCCTGCATTAAACATGTTTAATTGATATGAATGTATAAAATGTGTTAATATATTAATATATTAATATATATATATATATATATATATATATATATATCATCAATACAAATTAATATAATTAATGATATTAATACATTAATATAATATAATTAATGATATTAATAAGATACTTATATTATTTTATAATATAAAGTGAAACATAGGCTACTGCCATTTCTTCAGATTACACCAGATATAACCTGCAACCTTGACAACAATAAAAATTAAAAGTTAAAATCTTTATAACAAACAGAGCTGTGCAATGCTCTCAACAGGCAGGCTGCTCCATGACGTCCAAACCGCTGTCAGCGTTATAATCAGCAAAGCAGTTACAGTTTCAGTGAGGTATGGGTATCACATGTAGGCTACTGTAGATGACAATGCTGTTCTCTACGGAAAGAAGAAATACAGTGAATGGCCTTAATATAGATATGCTGAATCACCAGCGGCCACTTCCCTCACACAACACAGGAAAACATTCTTGGGATTCTTTGGTACTATGAAAACAGAGAAAAACTTGCTGCCACTTTTTGTGTTTACTAGACTAAAGTACTTATGCACCACAATATAATATACTCTTCAGTCTTTTTGAGAAAAAAAAAATGCAATGAGAAAAAATAATTTACAGGTCTTTACATGTAGGTAGCCTAATTAAATAAAGGTGTGCATGTCTGACAATAGAATAGTTGCAAAACACTGCAAAATATGGGATTACTAATTTAATGATGGAAATAAGAAAACTTTTATGTTTTGTTTGTAGTTTTGCATTAGTCATTAGGCTACATGTCAACGTACCTGAGAAAGACCATGTGTGCAAACCTAAATAAAAAACAGTCATTGTCATTATAACTTAATAGCCCAGTTGTAAAACTAGCCCAGATTATTAATTTATTATTTTTATCAATTTATTTTTACTACTCAGCTTGGTTATTGATTGCCAAACACACTATGAGGAACTTATCTGCGGTTTATTCCTAAGAAACATTGGCTAAGTGAATGTTTATGGCGAGAAAGAAAATTGAACGGAACTACAGGAACATTCAACTACGTTAAATACAAGGATCAGCATTTATCCAGATTAGTCCCTGCCCCTTCTCCCACACCACCCCGACCCGGAGTCACGCTTGTGACGTTTACATTCCCTGCTCCTGCCCTCTCAGCCATATTGAAACGGCAGTTTCCGTCTTTCCGACTTTGGCTGCCCGGGAAGGTGGCAGAAGAACTTCAAACTAACGCTTCTTGAATTTGGAATTAAAATATTTTGGTCGTTGGAAAACTTACCAGAGATTGTGGCTTTGCGTCTACAGCCGTTGATCAGTGGCTTTGAGGTAAGTGCGTGCGTGCCTAAACTTACGAAGCGCTCGCGAATAGTCTAGTTTCAATTCGCGCCTGTCATTCTAGTTGTACTTGTTGAACTACAACTTGTTTACCATGGTTACTTTTTATTATTTCGGCTGCAGTAGTGTTGGTGAAACGTGTTTCAGTCAGGTAAGTTTGAAAGATTTTGGACGAGGTCAAGGAACGTGCGGAATGGGACAATCCATGCGCCTTGTTAGCTTGTAGCATGCTAACGTGTGGGAAAACTTTGTCAACGACGAAATGTAAAACTAAATTGACAATATTACCATTGGTGGCTGTTTGAATATGTTTCTCTAATTTATAGCTCATTATATAGTCTATCAAATAATACTAAAGTCTGTGAGAGTTGTTAGTCTTCTGGTTGAGCTGTCAGTGTGTCAAAACAAGTAACGTTACAGTAAGTAAAAAAAGTTGCAAATGGAATTAGCTATATGACAAAGTACCTTCATTCAACCATAAGGCTTTTGATCTGACGATGCCAATGAATACACCAGAAGTTTTACTATTATCCTCGCCTGTGTGACAGATAGTTGTCGGTGAGTCATCGAAACTATTGAAAACCACCCAACTCCGTTCCTCGCATAAACAGCATGATAGCTGTCCTGTTGTGATTTTTAGCTGTAGAGGCAGTATGAAACTTTTAATTAGTTGCTGTAAAACCATGAATTAAGGAAGCAGTCCTGGACTTTTGCTTCACAATAAGAATACTTGTTCATGGTTTTCCTATGACCACACTGAGCATTCATTTTTGTTTAATATTGTGTAGAAAGTTTCGCTTCTGCATTCGTATGGCTGTTTGATTCACACCTGCTTTTTATTTTATTTCAACAAATCCAGTTTCTAGTTCTTTTTGAGAGTATGAGTCAAACATTCATAATGCTCTAAATAAATCTTACAACAAATAATAATATGATCTTGTACTTCAAAGGAACTGCCTGTGCTTATTGCAAGTCTGTCTTAGTTTTCAAAGTAGAGGTTGTTGAAATGATGCTGCTAACTTCGTCATGTCTGTAATAATAATGGGTACAGGTATGGCAGTGTCAGCAAGACCGATAGAAATATCAAATTGAAAAGTTGTTTAGTGTAAAGAAACAGTTACAGTTTTGTTATATGCTAAAGAAAAGATTGTCCTATTAAGATGTCTTAACTAAGGATAAACATTGCCCATATATTCTTGATACTACCAGTTAGCAGGAATTCATAGTACAAGGTTAAAATATTTGCATGCTCAAATGTCTGTCAGTGACCTGTTTGACCCCCTCCTGTCTGGACAGCTGGTGCACAGGACACACAGTTTAAGGTAGATTTTCATAGAGATTAAATGGTTGTCAAAACAGCACTTGAAGCCTAAATTCAAGCCTCTACTCTGGACAATGTCACTACTGCATTACAATTCTTTTTTTTAACAATTATGAACTGATCCACCAAAAACAATTTGGTTTGAATTAAAACAAGCATAGGTGAGACAAATCATTACAGATACAGTCAAGTTCCATGCGGTGTGCAACAATGGGAAAATGGCACGAAGAGGGTGCATTTATTGTATTTACACTCACCGGCCACTTTATTAGGTACCCCATGCTAGTAACGGGTTGGACCCCCTTTTGGCTTCAGAACTGCCTCAATTCTTCGTGGCATAGATTCAACAAGGTGCTGGAAGCATTCCTCAGGGAGTTTGGTCCATATTGACATGATGGCATCACACAGTTGCCGCAGATTTGTCGGCTGCACATCCATGATGCGAATCTCCCGTTCCACCACATCCCAAAGATGCTCTATTGGATTGAGATCTGGTGACTGTGGAGGCCATTTGAGTACAGCGAACTCATTGTCATGTTCAAGAAACCAGTCTGAGATGATTCCAGCTTTATGACATGGCGCATTATCCTGCTGAAAGTAGCCATCAGAAGTTGGGTACATTGTGGTCATAAAGGGATGGACATGGTCAGCAACAATACTCAGGTAGGCTGTGGCGTTGCAACGATGCTCAATTGGTACCAAGGGGCCCAAAGAGTGCCAAGAAAATATTCCCCACACCATGACACCACCACTACCAGCCTGAACCGTTGATACAAGGCAGGATGGATCCATGCTTTCATGTTGTAGACGCCAAATTCTGACCCTACCATCCGAATGTTGCAGCAGAAATCGAGACTCATCAGACCAGGCAACGTTTTTCCAATCTTCTATTGTCCAATTTCGATGAGCTTGTGCAAATTGTAGCCTCAGTTTCCTGTTCTTAGCTGAAAGGAGTGGCACCCGGTGTGGTCTTCTGCTGCTGTAGCCCATCTGCCTCAAAGTTCGACGTACTGTGCGTTCAGAGATGCTCTTCTGCCCACCTTGGTTGTAACGGGTGGTTATTTGAGTCACTGTTGCCCTTCTATCAGCTCGAACCAGTCTGGCCATTCTCCTCTGACCTCTGGCATCAACAAGGCATTTCCGCCCACAGAACTGCCGCTCACTGGATGTTTTTTCTTTTTCGGACCATTCTCTGTAAACCCTAGAGATGGTTGTGCGTGAAAATCCCAGTAGATTAGCAGTTTCTGAAATACTCAGACCAGCCCTTCTGGCACCAACAATCATGCCACGTTCAAAGTCACTCAAATCACCTTTCTTCCCCATACTGATGCTTGGTTTGAACTGCAGGAGATTGTCTTGACCATGTCTACATGCCTAAATGCACTGAGTTGCCGCCATGTGATTGGCAGCTTAGAAATTAAGTGTTAACGAGCAGTTGGACAGGTGTACCTAATAAAGTGGCCGGTGAGTGTATATTGTAACAGGCTTAAGTTAAAAAAATACCAATGTTAATCTTTTTTTGGTTATAGGAACGTTTGGTTGCATAGTAAATGTTTTTGGAGCTTCAGTAATTGATAAATAATAATTTGCTTTTGTCCCCACCTTATTGTTGGTATCAACATCTAGGCCTATATATCAGCCATTTAAGAATTTGGAATAGAATTGAATCTCAAGGTGCCTAAAGATTAGGGTTGGGTATCGAGAATCGAGTATTGATTGGAACCGAGACTAACTTTTCGTTTTTCCCGGAATCATTCAAAAGTTAAAATTTCGATTCCTAGTTTCGATATTCACAGTCCGGCGAGCGGAAGAAGAAACCGCTGAACAACTCCAACGAAGAAGCGTCTACCGGAAGCGTTGGCATAACCACGCGAGTCGAACATGAGTACCTTACGTTGGCGATCCAAAGTGTGGCTTCACTTTTCTAAAAATAATGAAATCTCGGCAAAATGCAAAATTTGTGACAAAAGGAGTATTTTTACAGAAGGAGTATTTCCTTCAGAAAGGATTATTTCGTTCAGAAAGGCCATTGGTTAGCAAGGTTAGCTAAACTTTTTTGACCCTGCCTCTTAAAAGAATCGGAATCGAGAATCGTTAGGAACCGGAATCGAAACAAGGAATCGCAATCGGAATCAGAATCGTTCAAATTCAAACGATACCCAACCCTAGTAAAGATTCCCAGTCCCACCCCTCAGCATGCCATCATTACAACTTTAACAGTTTCTAGACACAAAAAGTTTCTGTTGCTTAATCCATTCATAGAACAGATCCAGTGGTGATTAGGAAATTGGCTTATGTCTTCAACGCAACCAAGTCCATGGAATTAGTGATTGACCTCGTTTCTGAACACAGCTTATTCAAGTGCAGACAGTGCATGTTGGGCAAGATTCCAAAACACTCCAATAAACCTTGTATAAGCCGCAAAAGGATGTGTGAGAAGTTCTGAGAACTTTACCCTCCTGTAGCCTGAACATGTTGTTTGGTGAGAGGTAATCTATGGCTTATGACCAAGCAAGTTGTTGGAGTAATTACACTAAGCAACACATGCTTTATACAACAGGTTTGATTTGCAGAGATATTTTCCAGCTAATGGACATGTGAACTTGAATTGAGTGTAAAGTCACTGATTTCATGTACCTAGATTGTCTGTGCGGAGTGATTTATGCTGGATGATGGTTTAACATTGTTAGCAGGTTGTGAAATGTACCGGTACTAGGAGTTGGTACTAGGGATGTGACGGTGAGAATATTTTCCCACTACTGGTTAATCGACGTGTGAGGCGGGGTCTTTTAAATCGCTAATTTAAAGGCAAACGTAAAATACGCGTTTGCACAGGCATTCATAATGATGGGGACTGGGGAGCAGCACTGTTAAAATTGATTCCCTATTTTCTTTTTCAAAACTTGTTTCGAAAATGACAGCCCTGCAGAATGCAAAGTGCTTTTAATTTTATTTTTACTATTGCTGCTTGCTTTATCTGTTAATCCAAAGTCCCCAATGTTATGATCTTATCTCATGTTTTACTTGTGTGTTATTTAGGTATGATGATGTGACAGGATGTATGGTTAATCTTTGTGTGTGAATGCTGAATGTCTGTATATTTGAACAGGCTTAATCTAATTTTGTGGGCTCGAAAGTTTGCGTAGCCTAGCTCATAAATAGTTCAACTTCACTTTGAAGATCTTGTGTCTTGAGCTGATGGAGAAACCAAAAGATCTAAAGTAAGGTTTTAACAGATACAAATGTTCTGTGGTGTAGCAGAATAGTTCTGCTGTACTTCCCTAATATCTTAACTTACTGAAAGGCACTATGTTGGCATCATTTTTAACTGTTTAATTTGCCCAGAATGGTTTACTGGCTGGTTTAGGGTCAGACATTTACTGCACAAAACTGCTGATTTACAGGTGCTTTTGACAGGTTTGTTGAGTTATAGGGCTCTGAGACGACTCCAGAAGTACAGGCACACAAGCCATTGCATTATTTTTTTTCTCTGCAGTGCCGACTTCTTGTTGAAACCTGGTTTGGGTCGCTTATAACGTAAGAGCACATGTAGAGACACATGATTTTGCAGACAGAATTATAAAATCCAGTCAATTTAATGTTTATGCGAAATGTCACAGAATCTGGCAAAATTGGGAAGAATAAATCAAAAATGAATTAAATCATGATA